AGGAGTAGCTGGTGAGTTCGAACTGCCAACCTTGTGGTTCACAGTCCATTGCTAATCCTACATTGCCACACCAGGAGTCCATGTATGTCTATAGATACACACACATATACACATTTACACATATATAATAGATTTATAGGCTTTCTACTCCCGCAAAGACTTAGCCTCAGAAACTGTATACGGGTCTCTGTGAGTCAGAATCAACTCGACAGCATTTTAACAACATACTTCTTTTGTGCGTAATTTACATAATCTGTAAATTGAGTCTATGCAACATTATAATTTAAGGGAGCTTACTTTTAGTAGTGGAGTCCTGGTGTGGCACTGTGGGTTAATGTGCCAGACTGCAAAGCTGTTTGAACTGCAAGGTCAGTGGTACAAGCTCACCAGTTACTCTTCGGAAACCCTATACAGGGTTGCTATGGGTTGGAACTGACTCAACGGCACTTCACAACAACAACTTTGTAGTATAAAGACTTAAGTTGTTGTTATTAAGTACCATCATAGTGACCCTGTATAGGTTTCAGTGGAACAGCTGGTGGGTTTGAATTGCCGGCCTTGTAGTTCACAGTCCAGTGCTGATCCTACAGCACCGCACCAGGAGTACAAAGACTTATGTAGTAGATGATACTTACTTGACTACTAAAGAACTATCATTCCTCTTTTGCCGGAAGAACCATAAATTCAGATTTTGTTCAGGTATCTGGTGGCGTGAACTTAATAGTAAGCTTCTTTCTTCCTCCTCCTAGGAACAAATCTTTATTGGTTTGATCCAATTATAGTTCCATTGAAATGATTGGTTTGAGATTGACAATTCTGGACAATAAATTATATGGAAAAAGTCAATAAGCCTGATCCTAGAATATGGGAATGAATTTTTGACAGCTGGAATTGCACATATTTTGGTACATTGTATTCTTCTATATGTACCTTTAATCATTTTAAACCATTTCCCCTTTATGGCCATTTTTATTCTACTTGTATCCTTTTTTCTTTTAAACCAACGCTATATACGTATCTTTATGCCTGCATCTTGTCATAATTTTTTAGTCTACCCATAGTATAAATGCTTTGTGCTAGAATTGTTGAGTTATGGCATGTTGTTGTTAAGTGCAGTTGAGTTGATTCTGACTCATAGCGACCTTGTCTAGGGTTTCCAAGGAGCGGCTGATGGGTTTGAACTGCCAACCTTGTAGTTTACACTGGCCTTGCGGTACAGTGCATTATCCTGCAGCGCCACACGGACTTCGAGTTATGACATATGTGCATTTAAAGACATAGCAAGATATCCTATTTGATAGCTTCTCGCAATATGCACTTTTATTAGCAGGATGTAAGAGTGCCTCTTATATGATACCACCCTACCACTAAATATAATGAAACTTTATTGTTTTCAGATGTGATGGGTGAAAAATATTTTCTTACTTACATGTATATTTATTTTAATTATGAGTGAGATTAAGCATCTTTTTTGTAAGGGATTCTCAACTGGGGACACATTTGCCCTCAGAGGGAATTTATGGCAATGTCTGGAGATAATTCTGGTTAGCACAGCAGGGGGAGAGGATGGTGATACAGAATGTTACTAATCCATAATGAGTAGAAGCCAGGGATGCTTCTCACCATCATACAGTGCACCCAACTAAGAATTGTTGGGCCCAAAATGTCAACAGTGCAGGGATTAAGAAACCCAATTTTATATTATTCTATTTTATTTCCTTTGTTGGTTTATTACCTGTAATCCTTGAGTTCTTTTATTGGTTGTTTTAGGGTTCAGAGTAAACATCTTTAATTTGTCATAGTCTACCCTCGAGTGAACCACAGGTTGGCAGTTCAAACCCACCAGCTGCTCCCCAGAAATCCTATGCAGGGTCTCTGAGTTGAAGCCAACTCTATAGCACTTAATAACAACAACACCCCACAAGTGATATTTCATTGCTTCATGCATAGTATAAAAACTTTACAAGAGTATACTTCCATTTTATCTACCTGACCTTTGTGCTACTATTGTTATATATTTTGCCTCTAACATATATAACAGTGTTGTTGTTAAATACCCTCAAGTCGGTTTTGACTCATAACGACCCTGTACAGGGTTTGTGAGGGGCAACTGGTGAGCTTGAACCGCCGACCTTGCGATTCAAACTGACTTTGCGGTCCAGAGCATTAACCCGCAGCACCACACCAGGACTCCATATATATATAATATGTTGTTGTTGTTGTTGTTAAGTGCCATCAAGTCAATTCCGACCCACAGCGACCCTGTATAGGGTTTCCAGTGAGCAGCTCGTGAGCTTGAAATGCCAACCTTGCAATTCAAATGGCTTTACAGTCTGGAACATTAACCCACAGCGCCACACTAGCACTATACTATGTTGTTGTTGTTGTTGTTAAGTGCCGTCGAGTCGGTTCTGACCCATAGCGACCCTGTAGAGGGTTTCCGCAGAGCAACTGGTGAGCTTGAACCACCGACCTTGTAGTCTGGCGCATTAACCCCACAGCACCACCCCAGGACTTCAGCACTATACTATGTTGTTGTTGTGTGCCGTGGAGTCGGTTGTGACTCATAGTGACCCTGTACAGGGTTTCTGAGGCTATAAATCTTTACAGGAGCAGAAAGCCTCATCTTTGCCCCACAGAACAGCTGGTAGTTTCGAACTGCTGACCTTGCGGTTCGCAGCTCGATTCATAACCACTATGCTACCAGAGCTCCTTATAGACCCCCACAAAATGTTATTAATTTTACTTCAAGCAATCTTAAATTAAAAAAAATAATAACTTCATTACATTTGAACTAACATACATTCAATTGCACTTATTTAAAATGTACAATAGAATATGGTTCAGGACCAGGTAATGTTTTGTTCTGTTGTGCATAGCATCACTTATGAGTTGATACTGACTTGATGGCATCTAACAACAACAACAGCAACAACTGGGTAAGTTTTAACATATGTATACACTGTGGAACTATCACCACAATCAAAATAACAAACATTCTCTCCATCCCCAAAACTTTTCCCCTGCTCTTTGGTAGTCCCTTCCCCAACCCTTGCCATCTGTTTTCTGTTAACTATAGAAAAAGTTGCATTTTCTAGAAATTTATACAAATGGAATCAAAGTATGTTTTTGTGATTTTGTTAGTTTTTGTTTTTTTTTTCCAGTCTGGTAGCTTTCATCTAGTATAATCATTTTGAGACTCATCCATGTTGTATCTATTATTAGAAAAACATTGTTAATGGGCATTCTTGGTAATTGGACTGTCGTTATTAAAGAGCTTGCTGAATTCTAAAGTCATTTAATGTGTCCTTTGTTTTAGGTCATGATTGTTCAAGATATAATGATCATATGAGACTACTCCTTGCTGCAAATGTCATATGACTCATCAGAAAAATTTGCTCAGAAGAGAAAATCCATATGACCAGACCCATTTCTTTATTGAATGGCTTGATGGATTTCCTTTACTTGGATAGATACCAAAGCTGTCCTTCTCAACCAAAGCAAGAAAGGATCCTGCATGAGTCAATCGCAGAATGACCTTTCTACATCACCAAAAGGTGAAGAAAACCTCATGAATATCAATCACAGAGACTCAGAGAGCATCACTGGTGAGTCCAGATTAGTAAAGATTAAAATGCTAGCAGGTCAGACTGCAGATACTTCAGTCTGGTGTATAAAATCTGCCAGGATGAAATCTGGACCTCCCTTCTTAACATGGTCGCCTCAGAGACAGACTGAATTAATCTCTCCATTCCCTTGCCACCCCTGGCATTACCAAAATCTTCATTGTCTGCTGTTCCTTGTCTGTGTTTTACTCCTCTATGTGTATGAGACCCTAGTGAAAAGGAACTGTCTCATGTACATATTAATCATGATGTCTTCACAGGATAAGGACAGAGTTACCTGTGTTTATATAACTTAGAAGCACCTAACAACAATACCTGACACATAAGAGGTTCTCAGTGCTTTCAGGATAAATAAACATGTAGTGTTGTTGTTAAGTGCCGTCGAGTCAGTTCTGACAACCTTGTAGTTTACACTGGCCTTGCGGTACAGT